ATGTTCCCACTGCTTACGTTTTCTTGTTTTTCTTCAGAATTATTCTTCTAAATCTTAATTTTGAATAGGTGAATGTAAACAAAGTATCTCTTCAACTGGATGATGAAATTGTTTCTCATTTGGCGGCATTCGCACTCGACGAAGAGGTGACCGAAAACAAAGTTCATCTTGTCATTAAAGTCTGTGATACAAATGTGGAAATTCGGGTAGGTTGAAGTTCTTTAATTATCGAAAAAATGTGGTGATTTAAGTGAATCACTCTATCTTTTATATTTAGGATCGCAAAAAGAAGAAACCAATGCGACTAAAAATTAAGCAGTGTGTGATCGAACAGGAGGAAGACGGAGATGACACCTGAGGATGACTTGTTGAAATTTTAGTGTTTTTTAAAGATTTTTTTTGAAGAGCAGCGTTCCACACGTCACTTGAGGTTCCGTTATAGTTTAATAACTTTTGATTTCACTATCAGACAATAAGTTAATTGGGTAAATAGAAGCTCAAGGTGGGCCATCTGTGATCTGTGAGTTGATGTATATGATACCTGATGGGTTCATGGCAACTTTGACGGTCGTCTAGTTTCTTTATCCTCTTCTAGTTTAGTTCTTATGTACAAATTTGCTTTCACCTTCTAGGACTCCAATTGTCGGTTGTATTGAGTTGGTCTTGTGATACTATCATATTAACACTTGTTTCATTTCCTTAGCTCTTACTAATACCACATCCGTATATAGGTGTATTTGTATATTTTGCGTAGTGTGGATGTCATGTTCAAAGGTGTTATAAAATAGATTTATACAGCGTCCAGATAGTTTTATGGTCATATTGTGCACTGGAATGATCTTGGAGTTTGAAATCGCATCCACAGACTTGTCACAGTTGCCCCCAGTTAGAAGTAATGCCATAAAATTGTAATAATGAATATATTATAGCTGTCTGTCTCTTGGACGAACGCATACGAAGTAGTTTTGCGGAACAGCTGCCATTCCTTCGCTTCTGACAAGGCTTGGAAGTTGCACTCCTTCTAAACTATAGCTTGAAACTTCATGTGTATAAACTGAACGGAACTTTTGTGACATTGAATATTTGAACTGAGACCTAAATGATTCTCAGCCGCTCTCCTTGCACCCTTGAGAAGCAGCCTGATGCTAGAACCGCGGCAATATGTTACAGGGAGTAACCGAGCCCCCAACCGAAACAATTTGTAAAGTACTAACCACACGACGGACTCTGCTTACTTGTAGACCTTAGAATTTCACCGGACAGACGAAGGAAATCTTTGAGTAAATCATACGGTAGAAATTAATAGAAAACTTTGGTTAACAGATACTTCATCAGCCGTGAAAGAGCAG